AGATGCGTATTTTGCTTGTATTTCGTCTTTTGAATACTTGGCAAATGTCTAGGTAATGATGATAATTGTCTTTTGAAATTATGTGGGTGAACCATGAGGGTAGTCACTCATGGCCTCCGACGATTATTTTGTGTGAAAAAAAGTCATCAAAATATGTTCTCATATGTTTCTCATTACTTGATAAACTGTAAACACAGACAATGAGAAAAATTGCGTAGCAAACAAACTTAAATTACTATACGTTACCATCTAAAAAGACATATCCTAAGACAAATATCTATATGATGTATTTTCGGTACCATGTAGATACGGAGTATTTTTTTAGAAATAACTAAGCGATTCAGTCCGTATCATATATCATGAGTGACAATATTGCTACAAGGATGAATCAACATGCATGTGTCTGATTGAGAAATTTCCAAATAATACTGTTGAAAAATGTTTTTTTTTATATTTTTTTTTATATCTTACAGGATGTTTTCCCGTTAACAATGCCGTAGCTAGTTATAATATAAAACACAATAACGCGGCGTTGTGTCAAATTTACTGTGACACATCCTACCACATAGCGGTACAGGTACGTATATATAAAATTCATTGGAAGTGTCATATTTTTATTTTTTTCATTTGTTCAGTTTAATATTAGATTCTATAGATCATCACATTGCATTTTTGGGGTTTGTCATGAGAACAATGTTCTCATCGCGAGCTCGTGGATAAAACGCCGCCGATTTATCTACGTGCGAGCGATGAGAAAACTGTTCTCACGACAAACCCTGAAAATTCTGTGTGATATAAACTGTTTATCATCTATATACTGCTACCTTATATATTTCTCAATTTAAAAGAGTCAACTAAAAACCATGTTTTTCCAAATGTCTTCTAAGCCCATTGGTCATCGATCGGAAATCCTCGGTCTGTTGACAACCGTAACAATAAGAAGAAATGAGCGGAGGAATACAATGAACCTTAAAACAATGCAGAAAATATTCTTAAAACAATCCTGTCGTTATTGACTTTTCCAATATGCACATTTACGCTTGTAATGTTTTTTTATCCTCACAATATTTTATTGAAATATAGTTAATTATCAACAATTTTGTGATGCAACATATGAATTGTGAATAAAACAAATAAATGAAAAAACAGTACTTCAAAAGGATTTAAATTCAACGGTTTATATACGTTCATAAGTTATAACTAAACTAAGGTCGAACATGGCTTCTCAACCCGACCAAAAGATGATTGGTGGATGTGTGTGTGTGTGTTTGTGTGTTAAAAGAATACTAAGTACACAAGCAAGAAAGTAAGAGTGACATTTCGGACAAAAAAATATATATCTAATTTTCGAGACAATCCTAATATATAAGAAGCTATAGAACTGTAAACCATCATCACTACTACGCAGGGTGACAACTGCTTCTGTATGAAGCAAAGTACGCCTGTCAACCCTACAGCTGACTCAGCCTGTATGACGAAATGTCACGACAGTTATATGGCGGAAACATGTGGAGGCCATAATACAGCCAGTGTCTACAAAATAGACAGTAGGTTTATTTTCATATTTATGTTTCATTTAATTGCGTTTATCTAAGTTGTCGGAGAAACTTTATTTAATTTCTTACCGGTTTTTTTATTTATTGTTTTGTTGGCAGAAAAGTCTCAAGTCGCTTCTAATAAAACAGAATATTCCTTCTAAACTCGGTCCATAATCATAAAGTATTTAACTCAAGATAGCAATGGTTGTCACTCGATTTGTTTTAAATTGACGTTCATCAGTCCTGTTAGTGTTGTTTTTTTGTTTACTCGAGTAGACATTTTGAATAAAAAAATAACAAGATTTAAATTTTCACGAAAACCAATCACACAATCGCTCTTGTGTGCACAATTCCGTCTTTGCGTATTGCAGAGTTATCTTCTCTTGAGAACAGGAATTGATTGTTACGTCGTTTGTTTGTGAGAGTAACGTCATCAATTTTTGAGAAAACGACGTAATTTTCTCACACAAATCAATGACGTAACAATCAATACCTGTTCTCAAGAGAAGATAACTCTTCAATACGCAAAGACGGAATATGCATTTCACAATCTCATTTACTTTAGGGACAACTAGAATTGATGATCAATTTAAAACCTCTATGGCCCGCTGTATGAGTGCCAAGTGCAGAGCAATTGGAACAACTGACGTATTATTTCAACCACAGCACTGTGAAAAATCCTTCCGATATTTGTGTAAGTTCACATTTGTTAACGAAGGTAAGGCAGCATCATTTGTAATACAATGGGAAGTATCAAAAGACCATATGGATATTTTATATAATTAAAAAAAAAATGCTACTATTTTATACTTTTTCATCCAGTTAAAGAAAACAAAAACTAAAAACAAAAGTTACTGTTTCAGATATTCCGTCTTTGCGTATAGCAGAGTTATCTTCTCTTGAGAGCAGGTATTGATTATTACGTCATTGGTTCGTGTGCGAAAACTACGTCGTTTTCACAAAAATTGATGAAGTTACTCTCGCAAACAAATGACGTAACAATCAATCCCTGCTCTCAAGAGAAGATAACTCTGCCATACGCAAAGACGGAATATGTTGCCTTTCTATGTGCTTAGTTATTTACCTGCTTTCTGAAAGATGTTCACACGGACAAAAGACGTGTGTGCGAAATAACACTGAGGGAGTGTCTTTGTCATGTAGTGTCTTGGTAAATTAATTAATTATTTGGAAAGAAGAGCTCATTTAAGCACAAATCAAACATATACACAAGTATATAGTAGCAAGGAACTTGAGTTTGTTTTGATTTGAACCAAAAACAAAAAGTAAAAGAAACTGCAGGATTCTTAACTTACAATTTCTACAAAAAATAACATTTTCACATTTCTGTAAATGTAGTAGAAATGCCTTAAAACAATTACTGAAAATGAACAGATTTATATATTTAAAATATATGAAGTCATTCTTTACGATTCCAACTTTCAGGTAATGATTCGAACTCTCAACACGGTATGTATACAGTTTTGAATAATTTATAAGATTCTTCGTCTCCAGTATTTTAACGTTGGATTATATTTTCGTGTACCTTTTAACATCAAAATCCAAAGATAGAATATTTTCATCCGAATTGATTTTAGCCGTAAACTCGGATTATTTGACGATGCAATAGCACATCTGTATAGCGGAGATAAATTGTATGATCTTCTCTTTACTTTAAGGTACAGAAGATAAGGGTACATGGAAGAACTTCACGAGTCAGTGCTGGAGGGTTTCTGCAGAAAATGCCAACACCAAAGCTTACAAACGTTTTGTATGCCGTCACCTTGCCGATCCCGCTTGGACAAGAACGTTTCGAAATTATTTTAACGGAAGACCTTCTCCCCGTATGTATAATATCACCTCTCCTCATGTGTAAAAGGTCGCATAGGTTAAGGAAGTTTAAAAACTGGCCTTCTGTACAGACAGTTAGGAGTTCTTTATTCCCGGTGGTAATGTCCTAATTTGTCCTGCCTGTCACACAACTCTATGGGGCTCATTACCATATCCAGTTATCTAATGGAATCTAACCCCGACGTGTCTCAACGATCGTTAAAAGATTTGTCCCACGTATATGACTCTAAGTTGAAGGTCTCATGTCTCAGTTCACCAAGTCTGCCGTGGGACCAATGGAAGTTGTTTTTTTCGCTCAGGGTTTTGGACACTGGACGTCAGCTATCTTATAATATCACCGAACCTATAGCATACCTGCTGATATAGCTTCATTGGATTACAATGACGAAACACTCAACAAACATAATATCAAACCCGATAATCTCCATCACAACAGTTATATTCTTTCCCTGGTTCCTTAACTTTCTTATTTTCGCCTTCAACTTCTCTCACTGTAGGCGACCGTTTGTATCTCATATTTATTTTCTGAATCAGGAATTAGCAAGATTAAAAAAAATTGCATCACCTTAAGTCTTACAATGCACGTTAAGGACTATTTACCTCCCTTACTTCGAGATACTTTTTATCAAATAACTCAGAAAACTTACATTTTGACAGGTTTTAAAGCCAAAATATAGAATGCTTAATCAAACGGAGACAGCCATTTTGTTGCGTCATTCACAATTTATGACGTCACGTCATTGTCCATATTATGACGTCACAATCGATTTCTGACTGGCACAGCCAATGAAAAGCGCTCCAGGGTATATTAGACTAGTGACATATATTCCAACGATTTTTAACGGCCAACTGAGCTTTCTGAACTGAACTTTGACGATATACATAGAAGCATAGTCAGGTTCAATATATGCTAAGTATGACGTCGGTAAGGCACAAAGAATGGTACAGACCAGTTATATAGTGAATGACCCCTGTATTATTAAAAAGATCATGAACATGCCTGTTTATCATTGATATAGTATTTTCTGTCGTAATGTGGTTGTATCATCATTTCTATTAGTATAACATTATGGTTAAATAATCATGATCATAAATTACACAGGAAGACTTAGAGATTTCGAGTGCACTCTCCTGCAGTTTACCTCCAGTACCACCGTCACTGCAACTCAAACAAAACACTGTTCCAGTGTAACCCACCCTTTCGTCTGTGAAACTCGCGCAGGTATGTTTTTCAAACGCGTTGATAAAGTTTTAATTTATTTTCTTTTGGTATTTGTAGAATAATATTTGTGTATAGCATGAAAAGTGTTAATATGACTTGTTAAAGTTAGCGGTATGCAAAGGTATGTTTGTATTTGATATAATTTCTATAAATAAAGTCTCGATTTGTGATGAATAAACAATAGAAATAACCCCATTTTGCTTAACAAAGGTTTATTTTTATCTCATATGAAACACGAAAATGATTTACATTATAGTGTTACAGACAATGACAAATGTTATATTTTGTTCCGTTTGTTTCTATTTTAAGGAAATATTACGATCGACCCTCAAATATTTCAAATAGTCCCACACCCAATAAAGACAACTACACATCCAGATACAACAACACAAATGGAACCAATCACAACTCAAATACAAATACAATTACAACAGGAGACAACTCGACACGCAGCAATTCCACTCCGGACAACAACTCAACAAGAGACAACTCAATACAAAACAACCCAATATGTAACAACTCAACACGCGACAACATTGCAACACGAGACAACAACTCAACACGAGACAACATTGCAACACGAGACAACAACTCAACACGCGACAACAACTAAACAAAAAACAACAATCCAAGACGAGATAACTCAATCAGAGACAACAACTCAACACGAGACAACAACTCAACAAGAGACAACTCAACCAGAAACAACAAATCAAAACTTGAAAACAACTAAACACGAAACAAAAACTTCACACGATACAACACCTCAACACGGAATAACAACTCAACACGAGACAACTCAACACTTAACAACAACTCAACACTTAGCAACAACTCAACACGAGACAACAACTCAACACGAAATATCAACACCTCCCGAGACAACAACTCAACACGAAACAAGAAATCAGCACGAAAAATCAACTCAACAAGAGACAACTCAGCACGAAACAACTCAACACAAGACAACAACTCAACACGAGACAACAACTCAAAACGAAATATCAACACCTCCCGAGACACCACGTCAACAAAAGACAACAACTCAACACGAAATATCAACACCTCCCGAGACAACACGTCAACAAAAGACAACTCAACAAGAGACAACACAAAAAGAGACAACAACTCAACAAAAGACAACTCAACAAGAGACAACACAAAAAGAGACAACAACTCAACAAGAGACATCTCAACACGAGACAACAACTCAACACGAGACAGCAATTCAACACGAGACAACTCAACAGGAGACAGCAACTCAATACGAAATAACAACACCACTGGAGAAATCTAGTCAACAAGAGACAACAACTCAAAACGTAACAACCGCACACGAAACAACAACTCAATATGAGACAACTCAACACGAGACAACAACTCAACACGAGACAACAACTCCAATCGAGACAACAACTTCACATGAGACAATAACACAACACGTGGCAACAATTCCACATGAGATAACTAGTCAACAAGAGACAACAACTCAAAACTTGACAACAACTCAATACGAGACAACTCCACACGAAACAACAACTCAACATGAGAAAACTAAACATGAGACAGCAACAAAACATGTGACAACACCACCCGAGACAACAACTCCACACGAGAAAACAACTCAATACGAGACAAATCCACAAGATACAAAAACTCCACACGAGATAACACAACGCCTGACAACAAATCATCACGAGACAACACTTCAACAAGAGACAACTCACCATGAGACAAAAACTCAACACGAAACAACAACTCAACACGAGACAGCTCAAACAGAGACAACAAATCAACACGAGACAACAACTTCACATGAGACAGTAACACAACACGTGGCAACAACTCCACAGGAGATAACTAGTCAACAAGAGACAACAACTCAAAACATGACAACAACTCAATACGAGACAACTCAACACGAGACAACAACTCAACATGAGAAAACTTCACATGAGACAGCAACAAAACATGTGACAACACCACACGAGACAACAACTCCACACGAGACAACAAATCAACACGAGACAACAACTTCACATGAGACAGTAACACAACACGTGGCAACAACTCCACAGGAGATAACTAGTCAACAAGAGACAACAACTCAAAACTTGACAACAACTCAATACGAGACAACTCCACACGAAACAACAACTCAACATGAGAAAACTTCACATGAGACAAATCCACAAGATTCAAAAACTCCACACGAGATAACACAACGCCTGACAACAAATCATCACGAGACAACACTTCAACAAGAGACAACTCACCATGAGACAACAACTCAACACGAAACAACAACCCAACACGAGACAGCTCAAACAGAGACAACAAATCAACACGAGACAACAACTTCACATGAGACAGTAACACAACACGTGGCAACAACTCCACAGGAGATAACTAGTCAACAAGAGACAACAACTCAAAACATGACAACAACTCAATACGAGACAACTCAACACGAGACAACAACTCAACACGAGACAACAACTCCAATCGAGACAACAACTTCACATGAGACAATAACACAACACGTGGCAACAACTCCACATGAGATAACTAGTCAACAAGAGACAACAACTCAAAATGTGACAACAACTCAATACGAGACAACTCCACACGAAACAACAACTCAACATGAGACAACTTTACATGAGACAGTAACACAACACGTGACAACACCACACGAGACAACAACTCCACACGAGATAACTACTCAACAAGAGACAACAACTCAAAACGTGACAACAACTCAACACGGGACAACTCAACACGAGACAACTCAACACGAAAAAAACCCTCAACATGAGACAACTCCATACGAGACAATAACTCAACAAGTGACAACTCAAAACGAGACAACAACTCCTTGCAAGATAATTCCGCACGAGAAAACTCCACACGATATATCAACAACTCAACACGAGACAACTCAACCAATCAAAACAATCGAATACAAGACAACATTGCAACACAAGACAACTCCAGAAAATGCAAACACCAAATATGAGTCAACAACAAACCCGGACACAACAATACAACACGAGACAACTCCACACGAGACAACAAATCAACACAAGAAAACAACTCAAAACGAGACAAATCCACAAGATACAAAAACTCAACAAGCGACAACAGCTCAACACGAGACAACAAATTCACACGAGACAGCAGCACAACACGTAACAACAGGTCCACACGAGACAACAACTCAACATCAGACAACAACTCAACATCAGACAACAACTCCACACGAGATAACGACTCAACAACAGACAACAATTCTAAACGAGACAAAAACTCAACACGTGACAACCCCACATGTGACAACAACTTCACACGGGACAACTCAACAAATCAAAACAATCGAATATGAGACAACATCGAAACAGGAGACAACAAGCAAACACCAGATAACTCAAAAAAAGTCATCAATACCTCCTGAGACAACAAGAAAACACAAAACAACTTCTCTCGAGACAACACCACAAGATACAGCAACCCAACACGGGACAACAAAACACCAAACAACAGTTCAACACGACACAACTCAAAAAACCACATCGACCCAACACGGGACAACCCAACACCAAACAACAACAACTAAACAAGAAGGAAATCAACAACAAACATCAACTCGGCAAGATACAACACCTCAACATGAGACAAATCTACAAGATACAACTCAACAAATCATTTCAACTCATCACGAAACAACAACCGAACCACATACGACAAACCTACACGAGACCAGAACTCAATACGGGACAACAATTCACCACCTGACAACACCTCAACGAGATACAACAATTCAACAACAACCAACAAGTCAAACACCTAACACGCAACACGACACAACTCGAAAAGGTATAATTACTCTACAAGAGACAACACACCAATACGGGACAACTCGACAGGATAAAATAACTCAACACGAGGCAACTCAGCAAGGTACAACAACCCAACACGTGACTGTTCAAAACGAGACACCTAATGCACACGATACATCAAACCAACACGCCACAACTCAATATGAACTAACAACTCAGCCAGAAACAACAACCAAACCCAAGACAACAACTCCACACGAAACAACTAATCACGAGACCATAACTAAATACAAGACAAAAGTTTACCTCATGACAACACCTGAACAAGATACAACTCATCACGATACAACCGAACAACATACAACAACCCAACACAAGACAACTCAAAACAAGACAATAGCACAACACGAAACAACTCAGCAACCTGTTACAACTCAACAAGAGACAACAACTGAACGTCAAACAACTCATCAGGAAACAACAACAAAACCCTTGACAACAAAACAACACGAGACCACATCTGGATTTGAGACTACAATTCACCACCTGACAATACGTCAACAAGATTCAACAACTAATCAAAATACAGCAACCCAACACGACACCACAACTCAACCAGAGATCACAACACATCATGAAAGAACTATACATCCTCTGACTCGGCATGATTATACAACTCAATACAACATAATAATAAACCACCTGACAACACCTCAACAGGATATATCAATCCAAAGCGAGACAACTCAACAAGATAAAACAACCCAACACGAGACAACGCAACATTATACAACAAATCAAAACGAGATAACTACACAACACGAGACCGAAAGAATTACAACAACCAATTACGTGACAATTCAACAGAATATAACATTTCGAAATGAAACAAAATCTCCATTTTCAACAACACTACAAGAAACAACTACCAAAACAATTCCACACGAGACAATTCAACTCGAGACAACACCTCAATACGACACATCAACTCATAAAGATAAACCAACACAACACAACACAACAACTTCACATGAGACAACGAAACAAGAACAAATAACTCAGCTTACGACAACTCAACGAGATACAACAACCAAACACGAGACAACTCAAGTAGACACAACAATCAAACAGCAGGCAAGACCTAAGCATACTACACGTCAAGAGGACTTTACAACACAACAGCACACAACACTTCGACTTGACTCAACACCTCAACAGCGTACAACAACACAACAGCACACAACAACACAACAGCACACAACAACCCATCAACAACAAACAACACCACAACAGCACACAACACTTCGACACGAGTCAACACCTCAACAGCCCACAACAACACAACAGCACACAACAACACAACAGCACACAACAACCCATCAACAACAAACAACAAATCAACAGCCCACAACAACCCATCAACAGCACCCAACACTTCGACACGAATCAACATTTCAACAACACACAGCAACACAACAGCACACAACAACACAACAGCACACAACAACCCATCAACAACAAACAACACTTCAACAGCACATAACAGCTCAACGGGAAACAACGTTTAAGCAAGACATCCAGACCACTTCCTCGTCTTTAGGCGACGGCTTATACAACAGTGCCAAAGACAACGACCATCATAAAGCTTCACTCAGCCCTTCGACTCGCTTAGGTAAACGCTTGTACCATTGATGGTGCATGTAAAATGTTAAATCGAGTACAGTCGGCTTCACATTTAGCTACTTATGATTACTTTCGAACTTAATTGCTCTGACAGCAATATAATGAATCGTTTACCCTGTAAGTATTGTTTAACAATAACGAATTATATTTTTTTGTGTTATCGTGGGAGTTTGCCTTTGTTATATTAGTAATTGACATGCTTTGTTTTCGTTGTTACAGTATTAGTTATTGGAGCAACATCTCTTGGAACAGCCATCATACTGTTTGTCATCATCGTTAAAATAGTGTATAAAAGGTATGATATTCACACTAAATAATACGATAATTATCGCGATATTGTATGGCTGAGCTGACGTCATACTGTCGGTGAAAAGATGTATTTTTCTCTGAAATGACATCATGATATTTGTTCCTTCTTAAGATAAAAGCAATGATGATTCCAAAATATAAAATATATACTGGTATTGATCTGATGTTGAGAATACAGTGACGTCACGTTAATGCTTACAGATAATTATTTAAGCACGCGCTATTGATTAAATTTATATCTGAATGACATTCGGTTAATACAGTGCTATCTGGTTACGAAGAACACATATCAACCTCATTAAAAGTCAATAATAGGCTAATACTTCTTTATATTGTTATATGAGCATCGTGCTACCATTGTAACGACGACCTAAGTGTTTTTAGCACAAGTGCTTTTGTTCACGTGTAATGTTAATGATCTTGTTTGGGACTTGTTATCACGACTGTCCTACTAACGTGTGATCTAGAATTATATCATTAAAAGATACCCGAGTTTACGAGCTGCATATAATTCTAGATTAGATAATAATCTAAATGTTCATGATTTGCATCTGGACACGCATCACAGAATTCTGCAGGCTGAATTGTGTCATCTGCAGAACTTGTGTAATGTGCCAATTAGCACGTGTTTTAATTTTAAAAGAAGTCCAATTCACATTTGTTTGCAAACAATGTGTCTCTATAATTTACTTAAAAGTTACATTGATTGTGAAAATTGATAAAAAAAAGTTGATTTATTATTATTTATTAATTTTACAAACAAAAAGATAAAGAAAGAAAGGAAAAAAACACCAAAATAATTAATATGCGCAACGTCTACTTTTACTGTTTCAGGGCAGAGTTCAGAAAACGGAAGTTGGAGGAAAACTTGATTCGAAACAGATATGACATGTGCATTACATCATCACGTGACAGATATGCAAGATCCTGGTTATGACGTATTCTTATCTTCATTTGATAAAATATAATAATGTGCATTTTTCAGCATAAAATGGGATGCGAACTACATACGATTATATGAAAGTGGTTTTCCTTCGAGGATGTCTGTGTCAAACTGTGCGTCACATAACTTCGATGTATAATTCATATTAATGTGCATCTCCTGTAGAGTCTGACCACATTGTACCTGCTGCATCAATGAAAGTATTCTTCAATACAAACAGCTGTGTTTACGGCTAGATCTGACAAAGTGTTTATGTTATACAGACAGTGATGTAGGGAAAGGAGAAACAGACAAGTGTTTATGTTATACAGACAGTGATGTAGGGAAAGGACAAACAGTCAAGTGTTTATGCTATACAGACAGTGATGTAGGGAAAGGACAAACAGACAAGTGTTTATGCTATACAGACAGTGATGTAGGGAGAGGACAAACAGACAAGTGTTTATGTTATACAGACAGTGATGTAGGGAAAGGACAAACAGACAAGTGTTTATGTTATACAGACAGTGATGTAGGGAAAGGACAAACAGACAAGTGTTTATGTTATACAGACAGTGATGTAGGGAAAGGACAAACAGACAATTGTTTCATTGCGCAAGTCCGATGAAACGTTTCTAAACCATCTTCACCTGGACAATAGTTTTGTTTAGAACAGACAGATGGTCTCATCGTATGGGTTTATTTCATCAGAAAATGTATCATTGCTTTTGCTTAGTTGGAGATGATGTATAAATTTGTAAATAGATATTATTAAATTATTGGACATAATGCTTCCTTTTTTATCTTTAAATACTGCATGAGGTGTGAAACAAAGCGAAAATCAACGATTTTGGTCGAGATGAAAAATAGAAATACAAGTCATCTGAACAAAGATTATTAGTTCCTTATTGATTTGGATTTGCGTGTTTGTGTTATTTTTATGCTTACGGCAACGATAACTTTGAAGTAAGTTGGGAATATCATACTATTTAATATATCATGATGTGGAAATGAACCCCGGGGAAAACATTTCCTGTACCAAATGTGGAATCAAGGTCAGTCCTGAATCAAGAGGAGGGGGATCTAGCACATCCATCTATATGACTAGGTAATCGACAAGGTGTAGCCGAATCGACCTCTCGATTTGAATCGTCATTTCGTAGATGTATAACAAGTTAGTGTACCTACGCTTAAAGCTAGAGGAATCGACGTCGATTATATATTGCAACCACGTACTTCCGCTTCATTTGGTCATTTGTCTGACGAAAGTGCAAGATGGCATACCTTACTAGTCATTGGAACGTTACACATAAACACTTAACTGGCTGTGCTATATGAACCTTTCTACACTCCACACTTATTAGCCTGAAGAAAACGTTTATAAATATTTTGATATATCTTTTTCCTGCATCTTTTTTTCTGAACATTTAACCGAAGCCCGTTCTATATTTGAATATTTATTGAATTTCCCGTTAAGAATCCCTGTACTACTGCCAAAATCTCTATCAATGGATTGGGGATTTTTTTCTGGTATGCTACTAACTTTGATAAATCATTTTCTGGAAAGAAAAACATACCTTGTGGCATCTTTATATAACAAAAAATAAAGATGAAATTAAAACCAATAACAGCATTCTGAGTATAAAATGTTACGAGGCAAGACAAGAATTCGAACCCTGGACCTCCGGTTATTATACTTTAGCTCTTATATACGGTGCTACCTGTTTAACATTATTTCTCTGACCCTGTCAAACAACACTTACAGGGAAAGTAAATATATATACATTTTAATGTATGTAAAACTACAATGGAGTCCTCTTATTTTTGTCAGCGGTGCTACAGAGATCCTTCATACTAGTATATGTCTATGAATTTAAGACAACTATAGAGTTGTATAAAGGGATCAAGTTTCACTTTCATAAACTTCGTTTATCAGCTTCCGTTTTTGAAAATTATTTGTAAAAAAAATTAAAATGTTTATAATACATTTTCTTATTGTGCTCTTTTGAAATCCTGGAAAAAATATTTCCTTTGGTTTTAGTTTAAACAATGAGGAAATAGCACTGCTCCAAATGTTAAATGGACTTATTATTTTGCTTATCTAATTTTCAAGCTGATGCAAATTCGTCACGCGCCTGTTAGTTTCAAACCTAGTTAGCTAAGCGAATATTTAACTCAAGTCTTCAAAATGAGATATTTGAACAAATTCTTAGTTATCTTTTTTTTGGCCTTAGATGCTAATTCGTGAACACTGGTCATGCATGTGAATTCAAAACAATATTTCAGAAACACTGGAATAAAGTGTTTAATATCATCTATTCTCTTACCCTGGACAGGTGTATCCGCACTTTTACCGGTGTGAGATTTCCATGTCTCACCTTAGGATTGAGACGGGGGGATTCCCCTATTCATAATAATGGCATGACGTCACGTCAACAATTAATCAACGTTACGTCAACCCTGAATTTAGCATGTAACGTTATCATTACATTGTGTATATGATACACAATGGGGATCAGGGTAAGAGAAAAAGAATCATTCACTCTCTTGTGGGTAAGATAGAGGAATCTCAACCCTCGGGGAAAGATTCTTTAGTAGCCAAACACTCGGCAAACCTTCGTATTTGGCAACTTTATAATCTTCCACCTCGGGTTGAGATTCTCCTATCTCGCCCCCAAGGGGGATGAAAGATTCTATTGTTCTCTTACCCTGGACAGGTGTATCTGCACTTTTACCGGTGTGAGATTTCCTTTTCTCCCACACCTGACAGATTTATCTCCCGTTTTGCCGGTGCTAGATTTATCTGTCTCCGCCCTAGGGCTGAGACGGGGGGATTCCCCTATTCATAACAATGGTGTGACGTCACTTCAACAAAACAATGACGTCACGTCAACAATCCATCAACGACACGTCAACCCTGAATTTAGCTTGTAACGTTGTCATTACATTATATTTACATTCTGTATGCTTAGACCCATTGACAAAAATTACATTCATAAATGCATAACACAGGTGTTCATAGAATCTCAGCACGTGGAAACTGATAGTAACCTGATCACACTGCGTAGTAATACACTACAAAAACTACTCACTCGGAACGACCGACCTAGATGCTTAATTCTTACATCTTAAAATATTATTGAACTGTGCTTGGTGAAATATCCACGTATTCACGTGTCCTGTGCTACAAATAAACATTGAATATGGAACTACATTTTGTTGTGTTATTGTTGTTGACGGTTGCTAAGATCTCTCACGATAGTGTCACATTTCCCCGCGAAAAAACACTGTTCTCGCCACTGCGTTGCACCCGTGTATAAGCAGGAACAAACCCTGTTTATTTGTTTTATTCGTTGTTATATCGATCCACTGAAAGGATTCGTCAATGTAAATATAAGGAATGATATTTATTTTTTCAACATTTATGAGGTCATAACAACAATGGGTTTTTGGACATATTTTACATGAATCGCTAACGCGATTCATTCAATATGTCCATAAACCCATTGTTGTTATGACCTCATAAATGTTGAAAAAATAAAAATCATTCCTTAAGTGTTACATTGTGTATATGATACACATTGGAAGAACAGGGTAGGAGAAAAAGCATCATTCACCCCCTTGTGGGTAAGATAGAGGAATCTAAACCCTCGGGAAAATATTCTTCAGTTGCCAAACACTCGGCAAAGCCTCGTGTTTGGCAACTTAAGAATCTTCCCCCTCGGGTTGAGATTCCCCTATCTCACCCCAAAGGGGTGAATGATTCTATATGTCTCAACCTAGGGTTGGTCTCAACCTAGGGTTGAGACGGGGGGATTCCCCTATTCATAACAATGGCATGACGTCACTTCAACAATACAATGACGTCACGTTAATAATCCATCAACGACATGTCAACCCTGAATTTAGCATGTAACGTTGTCATTACATTGTGTTACATTGTGTATATGATACACATTGGAAGAACAGGGTAAGAGAAAAAGAATCATTCACCCCCTTGTGGGTTAGATAGAGGAATCCAAACACTCGGGAAAAGATTCTTCAGTTGCCAAACACTCGGCAAAGCCTCGTGTTTGGCAACTTAAGAATCTTTCCCCCTCGGTTTGAGATCGGTATTAATCTTACTCAGAGAGAGGCATATGAACAAAATGATAATTGTTATCAGCATGGTGGTATACATCTACTGTACAATACAGATAATGATATCGAGATAAAGTGAGTGACCCTATTTCTGTCTGCATGAAATGTAACACTCTCTATGTCAATAAATATGATAAATGTACTGAAAATTGAACATATGTATTTCTAGAAAAGTGAACGATTTAGGTAGAATTCGAAACGTTCTCAGTGACAAACACATGCAGTACGTAGTTCAAATATTAATTCATTTTTAATAATTGTAAACGTAGGCTAAATGTTCTGCTCACAATCTCAAATGTTTGGATACACAATTAAGTTGTATAAATTGTGTTGTAATATCTATGACACCAAGTTAAATCCTTATGCATGCGTTATTTGGTGTTAAACAAGATCTTTATGAAGTTATTATAAATTAAAATACGTTTGTAAATCTGTGATGGTGTAAGCTGCCTGTGCGTCCAACAATGGTGTTTACACATAGTCTGATAAACTTTGTAACCTAGAGATAGACGATAAATGTACTTGACGATAACACCGTGTATCAATGTTGTTCTATAATTAATATTGTATATGTGTTGTTGTATACATTTCTGTGTTGATGCAAAGAGTTGTCAGACATGTTTTGCAGGAATCTGATCTGTATCGTTTTACTAGGTAATGTATTAATTACTAATGTGTGCTCGGGAGATATACAAAACTGGTAATATGTTCATAAGTTGTTTATTTCTGAGAGTTATAGACATGAAATGTTTATTATGAATTACTTGTTAGTGCGTAAGAGCTATAGACCATTACATTTTTTCATTATTTAATTATATCTAGAGACCATGAATGAATTAATAACTTGTTTGTGCGTGAGAGCGATAGACCATTAAATATGTTCACCGCTTGTTTTATTCTAAGAGCTATAGACCATTTAAAATATGAATTACTTATTTGTGTGTGAGAGCGACAGACCATTAAATATCCACACTTCTTGGTCATTCCTGGGAGATATAGACCATTACTTGTTTGTGCGTGACAGCGACAGACCATTAAATATCCACACTTCTTTGTCATTCCTAAGAGATATAGACCATTATTTGTTTGTGCGTGAGAGCGACAGACCATTAAATATCAACACTTTTTGGTCTTTCCTGAGAGATATAGACCATTATTTGTTTGTGCGTGAGAGCGACAGACCATTAATATCTCCACTTCTTGGTCATTCCTGAGAGATATAAACCATTACTTGTTTGTGCGTGACAGCGACAGATCATTTAATATCTCCACTTCTTTATTATTCCAGAGAGCTATAGACCATTACATGTTTGTGAGTGACAGCGACAGACCATTTAATATTGCCGCTTCTTGGTTATTCCTGAGAGATATAGACCATTACTTGTTTGTGCATGAGAGGGACAGACCATTAAATATCCACACTTCTTGGTAATTCCTGAGAGCTATAGACCATTACTTGTTTGTGAGTGACAGCGACAGACCACTAATATTTCCACTTCTTGGTCATTCTTGAGAGATATAGACCATTACTTGTTTGTGCGTGAGAGCGACAGACAATTAATATCTCCACTTCTTGGTCATTCCTTAGAGATATAGACCATTACTTGTTTGTGAGTGACAGCGACAGACCATTTACTATTTCCGCTTCTTGGTAATTCCTGAGAGATATAGACCATTACTTGTTTGTGTGTGAGAGCGACAGACCATTAAATATCCACACTTCTTTGTCATTCCTGAGAAATATAGACCATTACTTGTTTGTGTAACATTTAATGAATATGAGGGGGATCCACTGACTTGCTACATTTATCTGTCTATCAACAATGTTCCTTTCAGGACACATATAAAATCATTTTCAAGAGTCATTCTGGACTCAATGTTCCGTCTAAGCCCCAATGGCCCTCTCCTCTATATCACATCGGTTATCGAACATTTTGGCGTGTTTGGTATCAGTAAAGTCTCTCCTCTACTGCCAATTAAAGTTCACGTATCGTGTACTACACAATGTCTTCTGATGTTCTGGTGTCCTGACGATGGAGGTCATTGTAATAATGTCAGAGTCCTCTCTCAGTACGTGGCAAACCTATGTCCGTCGTCTTCTCATACAGTTATGGTGGCCATGTCTTTTTGGTGACGTCTGATGAGGAGGTCCTGATTTAATACAGAACTCGGTTAAAATAATGTAGGATACTTATCAAACATTGTGTGTGAAAAGTCGACATAGTCAGAGATCATGCTCAGACATTCTCTAGCATTCGGATCCATGTACAAGTATGCGTATAGCATGAAATTGTTGTAGAGTGTGGTGTTTGTTCTGAGAGTGTCTTGTCCTGATTTCAAGACAGCTTGCAGGTGCATCAACGTAGCTCTTGTGTTTGAGAGTCGATTCTGGATATCTTTCCCGGCTTCACCATCAGTGCTTATTCTGCTGCGCATGTGCTAAACATGTTAGAACGTGACAGGTTATGGCCATCTAGTATAACTTGTGATACAGTAATATAGATTTATTTTGTACACACTTTGCTTTGGTTTAAAACAAGGAACTCAAAGTCAGAGAAAAATACCGAACAATTTGGAAATCGTCCTCACATAGAGCTGGGATTTCCACTTTAAATAAGTTGTTGAATGTTGTTTTTTTTAAATTTAGTGTCCAGTACAAACTGTACGTACCAGTATATAAGAACACCAGCCACATTACGAAACGCATACTCGTTTTGCCGTAAAAACGATGGCAGCCTAGCGAATTATGGGGACGATCTCAAAAGAGAAATACAGAATTGGAACCCATCAGAAAACACGACCATCTGGACGGGTAACTTCCAGATCCTTTCGCCATGGATAAGTCTTGTCGGTAAGTATGCACCGTTACTGCCTGGGTACAAAGTAACATATGATTTGTCCATGATAATTTTTTTTTTTTTTTTTCGAGTACAATTTCGTTGAAACTCATTTACTTTATGCTTTATGCTTTATTATAATTACAGTATTCTTTATTTGTGTTATTCCCGCCATGTGTCACCTTAAATGCTGTGACGTTGTGTGAATTATAGATCTAATGCGATATACTAAATTTGATATATTTATAACTGGTTATACTTATCAATGTGGTAAATCAAGAATAACGAAATAAATCAGGAATACAGAAAATAAACAAAATTAATGACAACAGCGTTAATATACACAAGGACAGAATCAGAAATGGAAGCAAACACTAACAAATGAAAATAAAAGAACAATTGATTTGACCCCCACGAACAAACCAGATGTTAACTTACGTGATCTGGAGGTGTGGTTAAATCCTGCCTCTATTCTAGAATTATATCTGAGTCACTTGTAACTGGCCCGACAACAAAATACCATTGTACAGAAAACGACTGATTGACATTTTAACTATGTTACTATGATAAACGATATTTCGTTAACAGGGTGTTACAGATATGGTCCTCAGCCCGATCCCAATAGGACACTGGTGTTTCTAGTCAACACTTCAGCTGCTGCTTGTGGAATCTACTGCAGTAAATACACCAACAAGTATTTTGCCTTACAAGTAAGTTAATCCTGGAAAGGAAGTTATTATGATGATAATAATAATACCTTATTTTGTTTCGAGGGTTTTATATTTAACTCTCGCCAATCTTCCAGATTGTCCTCGCACAGCATAAATCGTCATAAAAAACCATTGATAATATTTATCAATCATGTACTTATATTGATGCGAATATGCTATTATATAGACCTACGAGAGAGATATTGACCGAGACGAAGTTGAGGTCAACATTTATATTTTCGTGTCCATATAATTACCACATTATCAGCAAAATAAAAGTATTTCATTGTCATATTGAATGCTGTTAAATAATTTCAAATCATCAAATAAGATGGAACGTATAAAAAATAGCATGCAAAATATTGACCCGCTGTTTTTAAAGAAAGTAACACCATGTCAATATCACATAGCACCGTCCATCACGTGATTATGTGACCAATGAGGACGTAGGAAAATGTGTGGTATCTATATAACACAATGCTAGCATATTGTAATGTAATATATATGTAATATGTAATATATATGTAATATAATGTTATAAAGCAAACTTAGAGGACATGTCAAGATATTATATCACTTCTGTATTCAGAAGTGATATGATATCGAAATAGAATATACCTAGACTGCTATGCTATGTAATATCACTACAATGTCAGTTTGGTATTAAATGTCTTAACAAGGACAATTATAGGCCAATAAGTGCGCTGTTGCTCCACAAAGTGTTAGTGTTTGGGCACATAGGTATAAGAAATAGAGTTTTGCACTATAACTTTTCCCTAATTCGTCATTCTTGATCTTTAATTGATCTCACAAAGTGACGTCATCACTCAAATACTAGAACAAAAAACTGTTTTATTAATCGGATTCCTATTTACTATTAAGATCATGATTTTTGGGGTTTGTTAGCAAATTATGAAGTAATATTATTGTCATGCATAAATTGAAAAGTCAGCTCAATTTAAAAGGCTTAATGTGTATTAACAGTTTATTACATATATACAAAACTAATTTGTTTGACTAGAAACTTAACAGCTCAAACAACGATCACGTTGCTGTGTTTCTATAGCGATCCGTATAATTTACAAACTTCCTAGAATGCGCTTTACACTACATTATATATATATATATATGTATATAAAGTTCGTTTATAAGTATGCATACGACATATCACATATAGGGCATTTAAACCTGCAACATTCATTTAGTAAGCAAACCGTTGATCTTCGTATAGGGTAACATTGTTTAGAGCATGAACTGATTCCTTAGGGATCTTAAATGCAAACGTCCTGATATGGCAAGGGTATTTTACTATCTAGCAGCATCTGATAGAATTGTTTGACGAAGTGGCTGTTATGACAACGAAATATTGGTTTACATAAGTGCGAGATATTAGACACATAGTGCGAGGTTTTTGACACATTACAATGTTTCTGTCACCAACTTCACTGATCGTAGCCGCCAACAGACGGGGGAGAACCTCTTTTAAATATTGAAAACCTGTTCTATTAATTGCCTGGTAAGAGTGCATAGATATGCGACTTGTATCATACAAGTAACCAACACTATGAATGTAGTTTACGCTTCAAATCCGGATGAACAGCAGTAATAAGTTTATGTCGTTTTGTGACCAGGGAAAGCGATGCCTCTGTGTAGCGCACTCAGACGTATTACTTAGGACTGGTGATAACGCCTGTGACTTAGCCTGTGACGGCTCCCCTCTGTCCGAACCGTGTGGAAGTACTGAACGGCAAAACTGGATACTGTATTCTAAAGGTACGCCGACAACAATAGAATAGAAAACAATACGGTATGTTATAAAGAACCGTTCCTCTAGCTTAGTCAGTAATTTCTATCTAGATTGTATAAACACGGTACCGAAGTAACGAACCAATCGTACATTTGTTCTATATATCTCAGACACGTGTAGGTCAAAATAAGTTTACAATGTCTTAGCAGAGTAAACGTCTGCAGAACACAGTGTCACACTACGTCTGTAACCCGAATTCAAGAATAGTAGTACATGTAACAAAGTTGAAGTAAAAGTAAAAGTTAGTTTCCAATACGGGAACCGATAAAGCTCCTCTACACTGGACTCCAAAATTAAACAATTTTATATAAAACAAATGGTTGTGTATTTTGGATTGATCGATCAACAAGCAGAGTAAACGATAAAATATTGTTGATCCAGATTTTTGTAAAGCTTCGGATCCAAAACAAACGAGGCGGATCCGTATTCATAAAATTAACAAGCATTATATACAGAAGTATTATTTTCCAGTTATTTTGTTTCTCGAAAATTTGCCAAATGTTTAAGTAGCATTAGCCTGATTACCAAGCAAGCTTAGTTCCTTTTGAAAGCACGAAATGTAAAAGTGTAAGCAGCCAAGGGAGATAATGTTAGGCGTGAGTCGTCCTTGTTTGTCATGATATAAAATGACATCGAGAACATGCTGAAGGATGAGATACTGCCAACGTACATATTTTAGTGGTAATCGAATTTTAGCGGGGTTTTTTTGCCTACAATATTCCGCTGAATGTATGATTGCGTTGATTGGTGTTTCTGTATATTGCATTGGCTATATAATGTGGGTACACATATTTATCAGTGGGCTAATCTGTTAAAATACAATAATGCACTAGAAAGGATATTGACAGATTTCTAATATAAATATTTCCTGTGTCATTTACAGTAACTTTCAGTCAGGACACGACTAATACGTCTGACCACTGCATAGCAGGCATGTGTAACAGAAACGGCGGATATACGTTGTATGGGTCGAACTGCTCGTCCTCTTATAAAGGTGTTTGTAAGTACCCCCATTTGTTTTGGTTTGGTTTGGTTTAATATTGTTTAACGTCCTATCAACAGCTACGGTCATTCAAGGACGGTCTCCCCTGTGTGCAAGATCCATGCGTGTAGTGTATGCGTGTGTGTTTTGGGAGGCTGCGATATGTTCGTGTTTGTCTCCTTGAGATAGCGCGGAACTGATGCCGACTTTATAGTGCTCCCTCGCTGAAACATACTGCCACCAAGCAGGACACCCCACCCGGTCACATTATACTGACAACGGGCGAACCAGTCGTCCCACTCCTAAAGTGCTGAGCGTTAAGCAGGAGTAGAAACTACCATTTTTACAGACTCTGTGTATCCCCATTTATATTTATTGATATTATACCTGTGTGTATAAGCCATACTTTGTGAGAATAACACGTTGTCAAATAGCTCTCCCTGTCAATTCGTTTAGCACTTCGCAAATGATCCTTCATTTTTAAAAGTTTCTGATGGTCGTAATACATCTATACCATAACTGAAACAGGAGATATTAAGTTTCTTTACATGTTATTCATTTGATTTTCTATGTCCTTTTTATTAGCCACTAATGATAAGGACATAGAAAAAATGTATTGCATACGAATGTAAATCTATTCTACAATGAATATTGAGTTCTCGTGCACTTTTTTCCATCTTCCGTCCCATCTACCATGAAATCACAATCGCCAAAACAGATATTCGCAAAAATAGAGTTATTCGTTGGGGGAATAACGCTCGTGTAACACAACGGCAGATATATGAGTGATTTGTTTACATTTGCATTTACGGCGATACTGCAAAGGGCCGTCGAACAGCATCAACTTGCAGGTAGAATTGTGTGCCTTGGACTGGTTGTTATGGGTTTCGCGTCCTCGCAACAGCTAGGTTCATATAAGGGTGGGGTGCCAAGGGGTAAAATAGATAGGAAATAAAGGAAGTCGACAGGGAAGGTAGGGAACGAAACATATCCCAACTGTTGCAATGAGGGCAGCAGATCAATGTAGGTCTCTTGCATCTCCTCTTAGTTGTAAACACGGAACACAACTCTAGTTGAATAGAGAAGAATGGATACGACACGTACTTGGCAGGTATGGTGCGTGTCGGGCGGATATGGGTCGATCGACTCTACGGTGTTTGCTCGGCTAGTATCGCTCGTGCAAAATTTACCATATCACAAACAAGTAAACAATACATGCTGTAAGTGTATAAAAGTCCAAGGCATTTAACTTCAATAATCTGAGAAGAATAGGTGCTAGGTTGTTTTGAAACCGAGTCTCAAAAAAATGTACTCAGTTTTACTCAGACGTCACCAATCGGCCCAAAACATTATATACAAAATGCAATACAATCTATTTAAAAATTCGAATATGAAATACGAATGAAATATCATTGTTCTATTTTGCAGGTAGCAGTGGCAATCAACTAGAACACGAATCAGATTGGACATCGTCATTGCATACATGTATATCAACCAACAGGGTACACCTAGTTACGAACATGACGGGGCTATGTCGAAACATGCACCATTATGCATGGAGGAAATTTTGGATAGGACAGTTTCGAGGTGTGGCACAGCATATAGGTAAAATATTGTATAGTCGTTTTTATCTACATTTCTGTCTTATTTCCCTCCTTTTTGCTTTATGATTACCACAATGGAGTACATGAGTTTGAAGGAAATCGCATATGGTGACTATAAGCAATATTGATAAATATTGATAAATGGTTATGTACAGTGTATGTAATTTTATTTATTTCAAGTACCTCACCTGTCCACATGTTGAACATTGTTACCGTCAGAAGGTATCAAGTGAGATCTAACTTATGTAATTACTTGATATGTTTTCAGTTTAAAATAATAACATTTTTTTTAAAATAAACATTTAATTATTTATTTTATTGTTTATTTATTTCTGTAGATTTTGGCCTTTTATATTCCCATCCTTATTCATTAACATCAACACATTAACATCGTAAACAAATTATGCATTTTCCTTAATATCATTTTTAAATTAATTTCAGATATTTTCTCATTGTCAGACTTTGTCAGCTTATATTGTATAACCTCAAAAAAATATAAACACAAAGTGATTTGTAATCATAGTTTGTAATCCTTACCTCTGTTTGGTTAAAGTTGTTCGGCAATGAAATTGTACAGTGTACAGTGGTTTGTGCAAATTATTCAGTTTTAACAGGAATTACATATCTTCATCTGCTATGAACAAAAAGTGTTTTGTGTCTTTTGAAATTAAATAATAAGGGATAACCATGATTATTTTGTGGGTTATATGGTATACCGAAAAAGCCGTTTGCACTTATGTGCGTAAACCGATTTGCGTATTTAAGTTTTATCGATATACACCATATTACCCCAAAATCATATTGATGAAATATCATAAAGAACAGCATAGATACCCTAACATGTACATGTTTTACGTAATTGGACTGTATTTTGGCTTTCTCTTATTTCGACCCTAACATCACCTATGCTTCCTTTAGGGACGAAATAGTTGTAAGGGGTAGTATGTTTAAGTTTTTACATACTGTGTCTATTACCAAATATGATATGTGAAATTACATGTGTGTGTGTGTGTGTCTTTTTCAATTATCTTTTAAAATAAACCTAAGCTGTTGAAATGCTGATTTATTGTACGCTAAAACGTCACCCACTGACGATTTTGTAACATATCAATTACGTATACGTAGAGTGTATACAATTAATAACGTATTCAGTTAACACGGATAATTTCTCAACATTTCAGGGCCCGATATACCTGATTCGCATATCGTCGGATGTACGCTGGTTACCATAGAGACGAATTCACGTAACAAAACATCTCGGACATTTCATTCGGAGGGGTGCGAGACCGAGCTACGATCTTATATATGCAAGCTAAATAACGACGGTGAGATACTATGGTGAAAGAAAACATGTTCATATATGTCATTTCGGAACACCTCTCTCCTTTAGTGAATAAAAATACACATGCACCATCAACTCATGGAATTTTTCTTTAGACGTTTCATTCTTTCGAAACAAATACCTTATTTAACGTTATGTGAACAACAACTGACAAACGGTTTCGTACTATGTTATGATCTTTTGTACGTACCTGTCCTTAATCATATTTCTTTCTTGTATTAAGGGATGGAAAGATCATCGACCTTTGGGATGGAGAGAACGACCAGTACATATGACAGTTCAACTTCCACACCACATACGCTATTAAATTCGGTAAGAATATGATAAGGATCTATTCATTACACTGAATTGTACTCAGACATTATTAATTTTGTTCGTTTAATTTTATATCATTTTAACAAATCCTTATCTGATATATGTAATAATATTTTGTTCGTATTCCTTCTTTGAGTAAATGGATTTTTTTCCAGAATAATATTAACAGTATCTATAGTACTGGCGATGTTGAGACTTCTCTAAATCTGATTGTGCTAACATGCTATGTATTTGTTTACCCATTCCATGCTAAAAGACCATCGAAGCAGTCAGTAATTTGTCAACAAATAATCGCACGAAATCTCCATTCTCATCTTTACCAAATAAAGATTCGTCGATCAGCGGAGGTGAGTTATTTAATAATTATAATAAAGTGTCCTATTAATAGTGAAAACTGTATGATCTTGTTGGTCAAAACACACATTGCATTTCCGACACTCAAAATGTGTGTACAACTGTGTCAATGGAAGGATCTGGACAAAACCCTAGCGACTGGTGAAAGTGCAAATGACATTGCAATTGTTTTTAATTATTGCTATAGAAATTTTAATTGTTTGTTTCATGTGAATACAACATTTGTTATCCATTTCAAACATGTGTTTGTTACTAACTTTAGGTATGATGAAATAAATATGTCATTTATTAGAGTCAATATGCCTTGAATTACACCTATCTTTGTTATTTTGGCTGAGACCCAGGGAGGTAGGGATCCTTTGTGAATCTAGGCAATGTTATCTACAAATGAATGTAGTAACATGTAATATATCTGAATAATGTGTTTAGTCATGCAAATGACTTTGACAGTTTGCTCGAGCTGAGTGACAGAGAATAAACCGACATTGGTGAATATGAATTTTGTAAACCGAAATGATAAAACTCATTGCAAAATCAATCCTCAAAATGTACCCAATAAAGTTAATGAATTGACAAAAAATTATCAAGAAATATTTATTAACACAAAATAAATGGCAGTCTTATATATTTTTCTTCAATTTATTATATTGTTTATTAAAAGAAGTCCCTTATGATGAAATTACAAAGGAATCCCATAAAAATGGGGTAATAAAGACTCGATTTTTCTGTGGAAAAGCACCCAGTCTGGCGTTTTTCTCGTTAAATGTCGATCGACGCTTGTTAAACTTTGAATGTTCTGTTCTAATAACGATAATAGAATATATTCAAAAGCAAACTAGTGTGCTAATGTAATAATGACATAATGATGTTGCTTCACGCTATTGATTCTGTATAATGCAAGTCTATCGACTTGTAAGATAAATCTATAATACAGGTGTTTGTCATACATATGTTGATGTGTCTATTACTCATCATTGACGTCCTATTCCCTTGTCTCTGTCACTCTGTCACAACACACCAAAACACTTTACATTCATTGAATCTAGCGATGAGATGAGTGATAACGTCTTCGAAACAGCTGTAATTTGAAGTCGGGTGCCTAGGAAAACACCACAAAGTGTTTCAATGGGTTTAACAGATAAATGTAGGTTTCGTCAGTGTCTCTCTTAAACAGAGAACACAGAAAACAACATCAGCAGTGCCCGCATTCATGAAAACGGTTTTCTGCTGAAGCATGGATTTTGTGCTCAAGTCAAATTTCTTGTTCCAGTTATAAATCAATAAAAAAACTTATTGTGTCAATGATTTGGAAAAATATTGAAGAGACTTAATGCCGAAAACAAGAAAGTTGGTTTAAGCACAGAATCTATGCTTGAGCATAAGTACGGTTTCATGAATTTGGGACCTGATTCTACCCACTTAAGTCGCCTCTCAACACATTCCATTGGATACAGCATGTATATGCGGTCCACGAACCTGCACAGAAATAGCCTAAAGGAAGTACGATATGCCATTGGCATATCCTTGTTAATTTACCGTTCCGTCATAATTTTCAAAGTTTGTATTTCGTTATCGATTTATCAATTGTCGAATGGAATATGTTATCATGCAATTAAAAGGTAATTTTACTTACCTCCGTCGTTTATATGTTAAACATCTACGTCATGCATATATTATCTTTTAACCAAAGGTGTGGCGGCAGCAGTCGTAATAACAATAGCCCTCAGTGCATGTGCTCTTCTAGCCAGTATACTGTTTCTATGGAGAAGGTAAATATGTTTTGTTAATGGTTGCGCCTGTGATAATGAAACGAGTGCATTGGGGTTTTCCTTTACAAGGGAAGCAACTGCAGTAGAAACACGAGAGAAACAAGCTATACAAATTTAAAATGATGTAAACGTTTTTCATAACGATTTTGTATTATATTTTTCCAGTTACATTATTTTGGGTTACAAAGGAAACTACTTTTTGAGAATTAATAACGAAATGTGTTACGAGAAAGTCTTTCAAACTATGTTTACTTCTATAAAAATATCCTGAAATTGACGTATGTTTTATAAAATATCCTAAAAACTATGTTTTATTTTTTGAAATATCTTCCAAAAATGTTACATTTAACAAAATATCTTCAAAAAATATCGATACAAGCCCTGATGCTCTGAAAATATATCTCGAAAATCAACTGAAAACAGGCAAGCCCTTTAAATACTTTTTTTTTTTTTTAAACATATTCTGAGTTTTCGAAAATGAAATACAATTACCGACTATTCAAATGTAGCATTTAATTATTATGACTTGTAGTGGCTAGATGTATAAACCTTAAGTTAGTGTATCTTACTAAACGTGTTACATTTAATGAAATATCAGAAAATAGTCTACACTTGAAAAAGGTAAAAATGAATAACAAATATACAACATTTGATATGATGGTCTATCTATTTAGAATAAGCCACACTAAAGCTTTTTGGAGCATTTAGATAAACAATTCATTCTATCTATCAATATATAAGTAAATATGATTTTGAGGGTTGAACAGAAGATGCTTTAACTACTAACCCTATGCCACTTGGCTAATACCTCCATGTGTGTGCATGCAATTGTGTGGGTAGGGGATGTATTTTGTTCTGTTTTGAGATAGTCTTTCGACGGTATCTATTATTTTAAGTTCCACCTCACCTGAATGCTACCATAGAGACACTTGAATATCCCATGCGACCATTGTATACTCCACTTGTGTTGTTAGACTGGAGTTTTATCCCTTCGGACAGTTTAGCCAATTTCTTCGTATTGCTGGTTTTAACAAATGAAAGAATTGCTTGGTACTTTGATTTTAATTTCATCTCATGATTTTTATTTTGTTTTGGCTCGCTCTTTAGAAATGTGTATGATGTGTACATAGTTGACCAATTGTTTTAAAATGCTGCAGTATGCACACTTTAACAGGTTATCAACTTCTATTCTTTATTTGTAGAGAGCTGTTGTGCTTCAAAAAATTAAGAATTGATCATAATATCGCCAACCGGACGTATGACCCATCATTCAGCAACAAACCTGATCTCCAAGGTGATCGTGTTACTCATGATAGTAATTATGACGAAGTTGATGAGCACATTTCCGGTCCTTGTGATGACATTGTAGAGGAGGACCAATTCGCAACTACTGATGACGTATACGCACATCCGACGTTTGATTATGAAGTGGAAGACGACGGTGATGAAAATAAACAGAAGTCTTATATAGATATGGGGGCATCGCTTCCGCCACAAAATGATACATCTGCTGATGAAGAATATGTATATATGGGAGACGATGTCTCGAACAAAAGCGATGAAAATGAGGATGAAGATATGTACAGTTACATAAAGCCGTGAAATTCATTATCTTAACAATCAACGTCCCACTGTTTTTAACTATGCATGATGATCTTTATCTATCATGTCTATGGTTTACATAAATCGTTTCAGACAAGAAATCCATATCTTGTGGAACCCTTAGTTTAATTATTTTTTAGTAAAGATGAAGTAACATAAAAAATAACAATCATATTGTGAGTGTTAAAATGCAACAGGGTTAGACCAAGTTTCCAACAATTGACTTCTGATTATTATACTGTCGCTATTCCGTCTTTCCGTATTGCAGAGGTATCTTCTCCTGCGAGCAGGTATTGATTGTTACGTCATTGGTTTGTGAGAGTAACGTAATCAATTTTTGAGAAAACGACGTAATTTTCTCACACAAACCAATGACGTAACAATCAATACCTGCTCACAAGAGAAGATAACTCTGCAATACGCAAAGACGGAATAAAAAATAGAGCTACCTGGTCCACTGCAGCACCCAGGTCCAGTTGTGCCTTAAATGAGGTTAAGTCTTAGTGACTGTATGTACGAAAACCTACAGAGGAAGTATCTAATGCTTTGCCTGCAATGGAACGAGGATCCTTAAGACAAATCAGAGCAGAGTCGGTTGTCACGTGTACGAGTAAAGGTATTCTATTGGACGTCACATATTTTGGTCTTACTATCTCGAAATTGTTATTTACTCATGATTGTACGGGGGAAAATAACGATAAGAAATTTTCTTTGCTTTTTTCCAATTATTCATTTTAATCGTGTTAAATCAACAGGTACATATCAGTTTATGATTGTCAAATTTTAAACTTTGATGCGGTCTGTATTAATCTTACGTAACATGTCAACGACGTATGTGTAATTTGTGTCGCAATGTTTGCGTTTTTAAACCATTTCTTGTACATTATTTTTCCGTCAGTGGATACAATATAGAATAAAGCTGCAATTGTAAGTGTATTACTATAAAACTAACGCTCTATGCAAACTATAACGGTTTTCACGGATTTAATCGAATTGCAACTTAATGCGAAAACATATGCTTGTTCAGCTGACGAATTTCATACAGATTTTGTTGTAGATCTAACAAAATAGCTAGAACTTTTTTGACAGTAAATGACAGTAATAACGCTTGTCTCCCCTGATACTTTTTAGTACCGTAAATACCATACGATAATCTAGCTTAGCTGTTGTGGTGTAACCTCTACAACCACAAATGTAAATGTTTCGGAAGGCTATAGAAATTCTTTACTTAAATTCTTTTGGACATTCTTTTTTCATTCTTATAATCTACAGTACACCGTTAATGAGTCCTAAATGATACAGTAAAATGTGTACTATTTTGTTTACGCTTTATTAACCGACAGCTTGATTTGAAATGAATGTGCCGTCCCTATTTATAGTAGGTGTTCTTTGAAGACTGTGACTATTTAAATTATTCTATGGTTAACTCTCATTTCCTCTGTAGTAGCAAATGTTGCTGTGTTTTATTTTGTATGTAACATTTGATGGTTGCATCGTGTTACTTTTTTTTAACCAGGGATACCAAGATCTATTTTTAACATGTTTATTTCGCCTGTCACCGTGACCTTGAAAAAGTATTTAGTAATTCTCTTTAAGAATATAACAGTCAGGAGGTTGTGTTTCAAGCTGACATCATTTAAACTTTTTAAGTTTTCATTTGACAATTTGTGACTTTTCTTTCCTTGGTAAAAACAGGTATCAAAGGTTTCAGGGAGCACTGTGTAAGTATCACGGCAGCATTCACCGTAAAGGAATCTCTTCATATTATATAGAAAGAAAATCAAAAGTGTTCGCTGCCTTTCTTGATAATCAAAAAGCATTTAATAGTGTGTGGTTAAACGGTCTTATGTACAGATTATATAATTTAGGTTTCAATGGGCAAGTTTTGGAGGCTATTATTTGATTCATTTACTAATGTGACGTCATCGGTTGTTTTTTTTATGGTAAACGTAATAATACGTACCCAATAGGTCAGGGGGTAGGTCAAGGTCGAGTGTTATCCGCATGGCGTTTTCTGGTAATGATCAATGATCTTGCTGTTGAGCTAGACAATCGGAATTTCGGGTTTAAAGTTAAAGATATACACATACCCTGTGTATTGTTAGCAAATGATACGTTATTTTTATCCGCGTCGCTTTCTCTTCTTCCAAAACAGTTAGACATTGTGTATTATTACTCTGCTATGTGGCGCTTTAAGTATAACTCTGTTAAAAGTATTTAGTCATTCTTAAGAATATAACAGTCAGGAGGTTGTGTTTCAAGCTGACATCATTTAAACTTTTTTAATTTTCATTTGACAATTTGTAACTTTATTTTCCTTGGTAAAAACAGGTATCTTTCTATAAGATTTCATTTTTGTCATTGATTCAATAAATAATCAAAATTACCAATGTTTTTTCTGCCTTTTAATTTTGTTGCCATTTCGTGCATTGTCGGTTTTATTTTTCTTTAATGCTACCTGAGTTTTTATGTTGTTTGTTTTTGCTCTGATAAAAAATAATTTCAGATTGTACCTTGTGTATACACTCAACAAATGTAACTCTTTCAATAAATGTAACGACTTCTCGACAAAGTAAGGGATGATTTTTTGTCCTGTGATAAAATGGATAAAACCCGACAATCTAGTATGTTTCTAATAAAGAAAATTACCACTTGCATTCTTGTTGCTTCATTATTCATTTCATAAACAATTTTTTTTTATTCTCTCTCTCTCTCTCTCTCTCTCTCTCTCTCTCACACACACACACACACACACACACACACACACGCACACACCTTTACATACACAAACATATGTACAATTAAAACCTAATTTACGGACCATGCACATTTTGTTTTTCACATTGTACACACCTAATTTAAGCGAAAGATATACAAGGGACAGATTTTTTTTAACAAAAAACGATAATGAAGTTTTTGTTACCATCAAGGTACACAAAAACACAGAATATTTAAATTTGCAATTGAATTTCCTAGAAGAAACTTCGGGTATAAGGGACTTGTAGTATAATATAAATATAGGTACGAGATGGTTACGAAATGCACCCAACAGCAAAAAAATCCCTTATGAATTATTACAACATTACCGTACTCTATGATTCCCTAAGCAGTTAGGTTGAAGGTATTGTTTACAGTACTGGTAGATCTTTCTATAGATATCTTTCTAATTTGTTTACCATAAACATTTTGCAGATTGCTAAAACAAATATTTGTTTTTAATTACTGTTTGGATGAGACTTCAATATTCCTTCTATGCGACCAGGGACCGGGCATATGTAATATGCATAAATGCATCCTTCTACAAGCAAGGTAAGTGGTACTAATATAGGGGGGGGGGGGGGGGGAAAAAGG